ACACACTGTAGCTAGAGTTCCCTTTTATTTAACAAATCTTACGTGACCAGAAAAAACAAGCGCGAGCGGAAAAATAGTCTTTGCATTTGCTCACGTCAGCAGCGTACACCCATGGGCAAATGGGGGACGCTAAATTGACCAATCAGAGCGCGCGCCTTACTTTGGTTATGTTATAAAATGTCTTAGATTAGCCAGGCTTATTTTCTTTCTGCTCACAGACTACTACTCTGTTACGTAATGTACCTGAGTCCGACTCCTTCCTTCTCTTTAAAACTCCAATTTATTACATAAACTGGGGTGTTTTACAAGGATTTCCAGCCCTGAGAAGAGTCGTAACTGCACGTGTGTAAAGTTATGAGAATTTTTTCCAAGTGTTTGATATCGCCAGTCAACTGCTGACTCGTTACCTGCCTTTCGCGCCGCTCTGTCTGATTCATCCATTGAAAAAGTCGACTTTTTTCATATCGGTAAAGGCCCATGGTGCTTTTATAATAAACGAATTAATACTTGGTTGCTTGTAGATTTGGCATTTCTCTTCTCGTCTCACGCTTTCGCTGCGCTTACCGGTGCTAGTTATTAATCTATATGTATAAAATTGCGACAAAAAAAAAGAAGAGTTTTAAATGAAGCTATTCGCAAGTTAAGCATCGACAATTAGGCTAAAAATGATACTGACAGAGTAGTCTAGCCAAATATTTAAATTACAGAGCTCTGTTAGGGGATCATTTTAGTTTTCTGGGCATCCGAGATCGAGTTCACTTTCTCGAGCTCGCATAACAACCTGTACACGATTTTCACAAATTGACCTCCATTTCACTCGTACTCTCAAAATACCGAGCACGATGACAGGAACTTTTTAGTTTTAATGACTATGTTTTTTAGCCTCTTCTTTGGTAAAAGTGACAACGTAATGTTTTTTGCATTACGAAAGGAGTTAAGCCATGTACTTTTACGATCTTTTGGAAAATTCAATTTTAAAATTAAAGTAAACAAAAAAAAAATTCACGGTTCAATGCTCAAGAAAACAGAAAACATCCCACGCAACACTCTTGATATTGGTATTGTGAAGCGAAGTATAACTGACCTCGAACTTGAATATTTAAACAGTTTAGAAATTTCGAGGAGGTTAGTTTTCGCATCTTTTACTCATCTCACCTACACTTGTACGGCCTGTTGGTGGCTTTTTCCGGTTAATGGAACGTGAAACAGTGTGAAATTCAAATGGTGATTAGGAGAACAGAACTGTACGGTAGTCTGAAAAAGCCGGAATCCGGAATTCTGCCGGAATATTTCATCGTCTGTTTTTTAATTAAAAACGACTCCGATGATTTTCCGAACAGTGTACGAGCTCCGAATATACTCCGATGATTAACACGAAGATTATCCGATGGTTTCCGAAGTTACCCAGAGAGCCCTGAATTTTTGAAGGCTTGTTTTTTAATTCTTCTTTTTTCTCTTTTCAAGATTTTTCCGAACAGTGTACGAGCTCCGAATATATACTCCGAGGATTAATCGAAAGCTATCCGAGGATCTCCGAAGTTACCCGGAGATCCTCGAGGAACAATCGAACCCCGGGCTTCATTTGTTTTTTATCGACTTTTTTTATTTCATCTTTTGTTTATTTTTAATTATTAACTTATCTATTTTTCAACAGCCATGAAACTAAATAATAAACAGCAAATCATTCGTCAAATTATAGGTTAACATGGTCAGCGTCCCTTTAATCGAGATCTCGATTATTCATTAAAAAGGGTACAAAGAAAATATAGCAATGCCATAGTCAGTCTGCCATTTACACAATTTCAATTCCGGGAAAGCACTGCTTAACGAAAGCGATAAGCTCTTCCGTTGGAGACAAGCTTCCCTCAGTTCTCCTTAACAGACCTTGCACATGGGTTTTCCAGCTTACCTTTCCGAAGAGAGTACGAGTTCCGAATATGCTCGAAGATTAACCAAAGATTATCTGAAGGTTTTCGAAGTTA